TTTTTATATGTCCCAAGCCTGGGAATGTGATGCAGCCTCTCAAGATGTGGCCCCCAAGTGGCACCATCAACCAGGAATTGATTCCAGGATGGACACCCAAGCCAATCAGAGACAGCAAACAGTACTTGACCTTGTGATATGGAATACAAAAGTTAGCCATCAGGCACAAGCAGCCACTTCTGCAAGACGACCCACTGTGATGATGTGCTTATCATGTGGGTACACAGTGTTGTCCAAGACCTCTCACTTGGGCAGGAGAGATGGCCGAGTAGCGGCTAGAACTTGCCCTCCAAGCCTGGTGACCTGATCCCCAGAATCCGTGACAGAAATCACTTTGAATTTCTATTCAAAGTTGCCCTCTGACTTCCAGCTGTTCACACCCGTACTCACACACCACAACAACAAAAAGTCTCTGACTTCCACATGTGCACACCAATACTCATACACAACAACAAAAAGTCCTAGTGCCCACACAGAAGACATAGATGCTTACACTAACTATATGTTGCAATGAACACATCTTGGCTACACAGAAAAATGATGCAGACTATTAGGCTTAACCTTACCTAGCTCTATCTGAAATCACAGTCATGAGTATATAGGTGGAGGAAGAAGCAAAAGTGCAGGCAAAGGCAAAGGGAACAGATATAAGAAATGCCAGAGGCCAGGGACACTGGTATAAGTTGTTGCACCATAGGCAACATAATTTGTTTCTCCTGGAGTTAGAACTTCTATCACCATCCAATCCCAAAGACCTGTGAGACCTGTCTTGTTTAGACCCAAAATAGCCCTGTGTTGGTCTTTGCCCTGGACTGTGGCATCCCGAACTAGTTCTGTTTATTCTGAGCTGTGGCCAATAAATCATGTCTTTTTTAAAATTTTTAATTATATGTATTCTTTTTTTCAAAGACGTATTTATACTTGAATATATGGCTGCATAACAGAAGAGGGCATCAGATCCCACTATAGATGCTTGTGAGCCACCATGTGGCTGCTGGGAATTGAACTCAAGATTTCAGAAAGAGCAGCCCAGCCAGTGCTCTTAACCACTAAGCAATTTCTCCAGGCCCCATGTGTATTCTTTATACACATTTTAAATATGTAATTATATGTATAGGTGCCCAAAAATGCCAGAGGCATTGGATCCCCTGGAGTTGGAATCTACAGAAAGTGTGAGCCACCTGATGTAGGTGCTAGTAACCAAATTCCAGTCCTCTGGAAGAACAGTAAGTGATCTTAAATGCTACATCCTCTCCAGTGCAATAAATCATCTCTTTTGTTGTCTCAGATTAAAAAAAAAAATCCAAAATCAAAATTAAGGGGAAAAATTCACCCAACAAGAGCAATCACCCTAATAATCATATCTACTTTGTGGAGGGCTATTGTGCTTTGGCCTAGGACAGAGCTATGCAAAAGAAGCAAAGGCCACTGAAGACAGGGTCCTGTTCAGCCCAGCTGGGACCCAGCAGCAGATTAGTCTGTGTTCCTGGCCTCTTGACAACAAAACAAAGTGTTCTTTCCCTCTAACACTGGCATGATAGACAAGTGCCACCAACTCAGTCAACCTATACTTTGTTTTTATTTTCTAAATAAAACAGCACAAACCATGTCACTACTATCAAAACTGCTATCATGCCTCATCGGGCATGACCCCTGGCTAGGATCCCTTCTGACAGGTGGACCCTGAGACAACAAGACAGTGAAAGCTACAGGAAAATGGGGCACATACCTTGTCTGTGCGAGCACATCGCTGGAAGGACATCTTCCTCATGTCTGTCCCATGGTTTTCAGGGATACAACCTGCCTGGACTAGGGCAGATACCAAATCATCTTCAATGGTCCTGAATTGAGAGGACCCCAGATTCCTCTAAAGAAAAAAATGGACATCCTGTTTTCATCAGCTCTTAGGATGTAGGCCAGGAAGCTGAGCATCACTTTCTGGAACCAGCTAATGATACACCTCTCAGCCTACCCTAACCATGGTCCAGGGTGTGCGTGAGTGCACAAGCTCGGACATATCAGATAAATCCTACCAATCCCCAAAATAAACTACATCCATGGCTCTCAGAGGAAATCTTCCAAGGGAACAGGCCTGTGAGTACCTCAACCAAGTCCCTTGCATGAGAAAATCTTTTCAAAGTCTGCTCTCATTACCACAGAAGTCCACCCCTAAATACACCATGAAGTCAGGGACACTTCCCAAATGACATAAAGATTATAATAAAAAGAGACCATAAGCCTCACTCAGCCCTATAAGCCAGGCACCTTTGTCATTTCTGTAATGAGGAAACTGAGGCAAACAGGATCTTACTGGAAAGGCATAAAATTCTTCAGACAGCCTACATTAAAAAATTTCTGGGCTGGAGAACTGGCTCAGAGGTCCTAAATTCAATTCCCAGTAACCACATGGTGGCTCATAGCCGTCTGTAATCTCATTATTATTATCTGGTGCCCTCTTCTGGTGCACAGGCAGACATGCAGGCAGAACACTACATACATAATAAATCAATCTTAAAAATAAAAAATAAATAACTTTTCATAATCAGAAATGCCCTCCAAAAGGCAGACTAGTTACCCCAGGAGCAGTGAACAGTCTGTATCTGTAGCCTCATTGTAGCCTGAAACCACTACTACTATCCACTCTCACAAAATGAGTTTCACTATGAAGCCCATATTTTTTGTTTTGGGTTTTGTGTGTGTGTGTGTGTTTTGTTTTTGTATTTTGTTTTTTACCGGAGAAGAACAAGGTCTCACTCTGTAGCTCAGACTGTCCTTGAACTTGAAATCCTCCTGCATCAACTTCCTGAATGCCAGAATGACAGGCCATGTGCCACCATCCCAGTCAGCCTATGATCTTTTTTTAAAGTAGAACAGGATATGACTTGTGTCACTGCTGTCATTCATTCTCAAAATCACTATTATGCTTGGTCAGACATTTTTCAAAACTATTGTTTAGGTTGGACACATCGCAGCAATGAACCCATCCTGTGCATCAGGATTAAGGTATTTTGTTGGTAGTGTTTTTTGTCTTGTTTTTCAAGACAGGTTTCTCTGTGTAACAGCCCTGGCTATCCTAGAACTAAATTTGTAGACCAGGCTGGCCTTGAACTCCCAGAGATCTGCCTGCCTCTGCCTCCTGACTGCTGGGATTAATGTGTGTGCCACCACCACCTGGCAAATTAAGATTTTAAAAGTGAGGAAAGGGATCAGATAGATGGCTCAGTGGTAAAGAGCACTGACTGCTCTTCTAGAGGACTGGGTTTGATTCTCATCACCCAGATAGCAGCTAACAACTGCCTGTCACTCCAGTCCCAAGGGATCCTATTCCATCTTCTAGCCTCCGGGGGCAGTGCATGCACATGGTACACAGACGTGCATGCAAGCAAACACCCAGATATACAAAATAAAAGTAAAGGTTAAAATTTGTTTTAAAGCCGAGGTATGGTGGTACACACCTTTAATCCCAGCACTCTTGAGGCAGAAGCAAGTGGATTTCTTTGAGTTTGAGGCCAGCCTGATCTACAGAGAAAGTTCCAGGGCAGCCAGGATGACACAGAAAAACCCTGTCTCGAAAAACAAAACAAAACAAATTGTTTTAAGAAAAATTAGAGGGGCTGGAGGGAGATGGCTCTGTGGTTAAGAGCACTGGCTGCCCTTCCAGAAGACCCAGGTTCAATTCCCAGCACCACATGGCAGCTCATGTTCATGTTCATGTTCATGGTAACTCCAGTTCCAGGGAACCAAACACCTTTACACTGACATACATGCAGGCAAAACACCAGTGAATGAACATAAAATAAAAATAAATCAATAAATGTTTTTAAAAAAGAAAAATTAGAAATGGGAACAGTGCTAACAGCAGAGGTGACAAGAAGGACCAAGATTCTTCCCACACTGGTCAGTGCCACTTTCAAAAGGTCAAGTTGGTGATAGGTGCCAGCCTTGCCCCAGATCCCTAATGCTCTTCAGCAGAGTTCAGCTGCCCCTCAGGATACCGGCCAGGTAGAACCTGCCATCTCTCTGGTCTCCACTCTCAGCACTCCCAAGTACTGTGACAAGACTCACTGCTTCCAAGGTCACATGTGAATCGGCACAGAGCTGGCCTAACCATTAGTGAAACACAACCACCCAAGTCTTATATGGAAGACTCTCAGTTTTGCTGTTTCCTGAGCATCAGGGAACAGAGGTCGATCCAGGTAGGTGCTGTCTAGGTGCAGCCCTCCTCACCTGCATGCCGTGGTAGCCCTTGCCGGAGTAGGCCATGAGCAGCACAATTTTGCGTTTTGGCAGCTTTCGTGGAGGCTCTTCATCCTCACTGCCCTTGGCCCTCTTGGGAGGATGCTGCGTGTCTTCCCAGACCCAGCCACCTCGGACCTTCCTGTCTTGTTTGTGTGAAGCCAGCGCTGGTGGCACCTTGTTTCCAGCCATAGGGGGCAGGCTGGGAAAACAGGCATGAGTGATCAAGGTGGTAGAAGGATGCAAGAACAGAACCTGATGCTCTCTGCCTGCCTCAATGGTCTCTGAAGACCTTGTCTAATAGTAGACCAGTCTGGCTCATCAATGACAATGACAAAGTGACTGGGGTTGGGAAACAGTGGCAACTCGGGGGTAGAGTTTGACGCACAACTGGACACAAGCAGGCAGCAGAGGCAGACAGCTCAGGGGAATACAAGGTAGCGATGGAGTCTCAAGGTAGAGATAAGACACACGTAAGTTGAACAGAGGCAGACAGCCAGGGCAGCAGTGGGAACTCAAGGCACAGGCGCCGGTCGCGGAGTCTTTACCCGGGCACGCGCGGGCCAGGGCGCGCAGTCCACCATCCCCAGGCTCTCAGCAGTGTAGCCCACAGGCGGGGGAAGCCCATGTGCGGCGGGGTGGCGGGCACCGACCCTCGATCTCACGGATCCCTGATGAACTCTGCACCCCCAACACCCCTGCCCTATCTTTCTTAGCTCCGGCTCGTTATCTTAGGCTGACCTGTCACCCCACAGCCCCTACCCTCCGCCCGCCGCCCTAGAGATAGCGCAGCCAGCGCGCGTACGGAGCGAGGAATGTCCCGCCGGCCCCACTCACGGCGCCGAGGACCCCCGAAGGCCGACCACGTGGACGAAGGCGGAAGCGGGCAAGCGTTGGAAGGCGGCCGAAGGCGGACAAAAGTCTTTCTGGGACGCGCCTAGTGGGGTGGACCCAATGGGTGGGGCTTCCCAACCAGGATCCAGACTAGACTAGACGCAGGTTTCCAAAGAAGCAGAAGGCTGGCAGCTGCTGAGTCTTGAGAATTAAAACCACTTCATTAAAACATGCAGGTTAGGAATGCACCAGGGAGCCAATCATCAGATAAATAACCGTTAAAGCCCAAATAACGCCAGCACCGTCTCAGTGGTTCTAAGTGGGTCCTTGCCTGAAGGCCCAAAGTACCAACCCTGGCACTGGGAGGTCACAGCTACTCTGAATGGTTTTGCGGTACGCAGACCATCAAGGCGTCCCTGTGTTTTTCGTTTCCAGAAATTGCTCCAATTGCCAGATACTGATGTGTTTAATGGCATGAAACCGTGAGTATTATTTTGTTGTCCTCATGTTACTGATAAAACTGGGCACAGGTTCTGACCCTGGGTCACACAAATAGATGTCTACATCCAGCTCCATTTTCTTTTTTATTGTTGTTTTGTTTTGTTTTGTTTTGTTTTTGGAGACAGGGTTTCTTTGTGTAACAGTCCTGGCTGTCCTGGAACTCGACTTGTAGACCAGGCTCACTGAGATCTACCTGCCTCTGCCTCCCAAGTGCTGGGATTAAAGGCCTGCACCACCACTGCCTAGCCATTTTCTTTTTTTTTTTTTTTTTTGAGACAGTCTTATTGAATAGGCCTGACCATTCTGAAACTCACTTAGATAGATAGATAGATAGATAGATAGATAGATAGATAGATAGATAGAT